TTTCTCAAGTTCCGATCACGCTGGTTCGCGAACTCGTTCAAATTTATCCCGTCTACACCAAATTTAATCAAAATCGAACGAAAATTACTCGAGGTATCGCGTTCACGGACACATACATTACTATATATATATATATATATATATATATATATATAGAACAATTTGAACGAATGGTGTTTTTGGCCTTTGGGACACCAAAATGAAAAAAGTAAATCGATCCCGGGCCTAGGTCTTACCATGCAATAATGTGTGGTTTTTAGTAAAATATTAACAGCAGCTTGGTATAAAATAAATAAATTTGCCAATTATGATCAAAATTTTAAATTGTTTTTAATTTTCTCTGTCACCAATAATATTGTACAAACACTTTGATAAACAAAATGATTTGTTTTTTAAGATTTTTAAAGAAGTAGGGAGAAATTGGGAATTTTTGTTTTTTGAGGGTCAAAATTAGAAAAACTAAATTTTACCCTATAAAACCTCCCGTAAAACCCCTTTCTCAAGTTCCGATCACGCTGGTTCGCGAACTCGTTCAAATTTATCCCGTCTACACCAAATTTAATCAAAATCGAACGAAAATTACTCGAGGTATCGCGTTCACGGACACATACATTACTATATATATATATATATATATACATAGAACAATTTGAACGAATGGTGTTTTTGGCCTTTGGGACACCAAAATGAAAAAAGTAAATCGATCCCGGGCCTAGGTCTTACCATGCCACCTACGGTAATAGCTTCCCTATAGGGTAATTCGCTAAAAACAACAATAATCCCCCCATAAATAAAAGAGCCCCCCTCTCACCACATGTTTCCTCCCATTGTTTTTTGCAAGAAATGCAAACGTTGTTCTACGGTTTGTTTCATCACTACAATCAATATCGATCCATACTAAATTAATTGTTTACCAATTAAAATGGTGGGCGTAATGGGAATTGGTCGTTCTTATTTCTTTTTAGCGTCACTCAGCAGCTTCAGCAATTGTATACCCAAGCTCACTTGATAAGTTTTAGATGTCTTTTTTGGGGAAGTAATAAACTCATTGTTGGACTTTATTATGCTGCTAAACGTTTTCGCCTACATTGTTCGTACCCGAGACACCGCAGGCGCGTTGCGCGTTGTGCAGGGGTCTACCAGGCGCTAATCACTCGACAAAGGCGAGCACACCCCGCCAGCTCTCCTACCGATGAAGCCAATTTTGGGCATTTCGACGTCGGTTTCGCTCGTTAGTGGGTTTAAGGGCGCCGACACAAGGCCCTGAATAAATCTCCTCAATTAGGCGACACCGACCCTACGTCATCATTGATACGCTAGCGGGGAATATTAGCATCCATTATTGCAATTTGTAGCGGGAAACCGCACTACTAGCGCTAATAAGTATGCTTTGCCGGGGCTAGGTTCTTATTTTCCCACAATCTCCCAGATCATTCATAATTATTGAAACCTTTATGTATGGCGTAACGCAATATGCAAGTTCTATCTACGGGCAATTTGTCATTGATTTTAGAGACTTTAATTAAGTTCTTGTTCATACTCAACAATATATTGTATATATATATATATCCACTAAGAGACACACAAGTCATGTGGACACGCATATGTCGCATTGACTTCTCGTGGTATATATTACTTTCATGAGCTTTCTACTATGTGTATGTATATACATATACATGCCTGATGACTGCCAGCTGAGTCGGTACAAATCGCACAGTAACTAACCTTCATTGCCTATCACCTAGTGTTATATATAGTCAATGCTACCACTCTAGTTGTGAATGGGCTAATAGTATATAACTGCCGATCCCTTTATCAAGTTGTCACCACACAATGTGGCATGGCCAGTTAGGGTCGACTCGCTCCGCATATTCTCAATCGGGTTGACACCGTGCCATATCATATTGCGATGTAGCCTTGTAGGGGGGAAGACGCCATCTTGCGGGAAATTTGAGCGGAAGATATGGCGCCCAATTACCGAAGGCTGGTGGTCCATTCACCGCGTGAATAGCGTCTTATTAAACCCTACCGTCGCTAACTGGGCCTATCTCGTCCGTAATAAGGTCCCTCACAACTACGACCCCTACGATGAGACATTTTGTTGGTACAGGCTCGAGAGTACTCCAGATACGGAGAGGCCATTGTTTAGCAAACCTCAAATTTATATTTTATGTCCACGAAGTAACATTTTAACAGGTTGTCTATTTCGTTTCAGAACGATAAAATGTTGGTGTGGTTTAAATTTATTTACACAATACTTTGACTATTTCTACGTTGAAGATCGTATTACACGTAGATACATGAAAAACATATAGCAAAATAAAAATCATTGAGAGATTTAATCTATATCTATAAAAGAAGAACTATGTATGTATGTATATATATGTGTATATACGTTATGGACTCCAAAACCGCTCGACAGATTGTAATGAAACTTTCAGGCATTATTAAGCATCTTTCAAGGATGGTTCGAGTGAAGTTTGGTGCAGATCCGTCAAAAGGGCTCTGCCCCAGAGGGTTTTAAGCGGGCCAATGTCAGATTTTTTGATCTAGAATGTTTACAAATAAATATAATTTAAAAGCAGATGTTTATTTCACCAACTGTTTTGTACGTTTGAATAACTACAACATTCTATATTAGCATTAGTCATGATTTGAAATAGTGCCACAGTGTTTCTACAGATTGCAGCACAGAAAACTATTTTACTTTTGAATAAGTCCAAATGTATTAAACCCCAATCACAGCACACCTGTGCACTTAACAACGTTTAAATTCTCCAATGTTAAATATTAAAACATAAAAACCTTTATAAAATTACTGTATTATAAACAATAAAAGGGATGACTTTTTAAAATGTATGACAACAGCTAATTTGCAACCAAAAGGTGAGTGAGCGTAGCGAACGAACATAAACCTGGAGGCGAGTAAGCGTAGCGAACGAGCCAACCTGAAAACAAGTGAGCGCAGCGAACGATTTCTAACTTGAAGGTGAGTGAGCGTAGCGAACGAACTTCAACCAGGACGTGATTGAGCCATGCGAATACTTATGAAGTTAAGCGGGGCAAAGCCCGCGGGTACAGCTAGTTTATTATAACATGTTAAAAACAAAATCTTATACATACAGTAACACTCCGCAATCCTCATTTGATAAAATGTTTTCCCTGCTTGTTAATTTTAACAAATCTATTTCGAAATGTTTAAAATCTAAACACAAAATATTATCTCGCTGCAAGTTGACTAATTACCGGAAGGTGGCCACGTGACAGCGACATCGTCATAGGGAATGCTATAGTGGAGCGTCATAAGAGGCGCTGCACTGGGAGGTAATTTAATAATTAAATTAGCGAAGAGTCGGATATAAAGAGGCAATCCAGAGTGCAGAGAGCACAATAATTAGGTCCGCATGCATTATGGATAGGCCTAGTTCTCACTAATTAACGGCATTGTCTCATAAACAGCCTACCTCTCGCTTCTCACTCCTTTTTGTCAGTTGTTTCTAACATTTAACGCCCCGATTCCTCCGAATAAGCTCAAACAGGGGTGTAATCATGGCGGGTGTCAATCGAGTTAATTTTAACAAAGGAAGTGGGAAGTGGCGCGTCGCAGCTGAGCAAAGTCAACAGCACATGTAATTTAAGCATATTGGGGTTTTGGGAAAACGTAAAAAATGTCTTAAAATCTCACATAACGGAATCTGTTTACAGTTTGATGGTAACAGTGTTTTTGCTTGCAACTAATTTCGTTTATAATATTTGGGTTGGATTAATTTCAAATTATTTTCAAATCAAGTCATCCAATGTTTTGATTTTATTTTGTTTGATTAAATATGAATCTCTCAATTGGATTTATGAAATAATATATTTACTATTTATAATTCTTATGAACCCTTGAGATACGCTAATTTAATGTTCATCAGAATGAGTCGAAATTTGTTTCACAACAAGCTGACAGTCTATTAATTTGATATGTTTTGAAAATCGTCATAAAGTATTTTGTGAATCATAAATGTTTTAAGCCTCAGCATCTTCAGCGTGTTCCCAACCCTGCTCACACTCATTGCAAGTGTCCGGTTTTACATCTGCAGTGCACCACTCTACACTGGGTGTTGTGGGTTTGTTGTTCAAATTTCCTCGTGTCCCCAGGGCCTCAATTTAATCTAGAGGTTAGTGGAGGCACCTCCGACAATGTGCTGTCACCACCGATGCTCTTCTCATCTCTCACTCAGCTGTTTCGCCCGATATTGCGCCCTCTCAGGCTTTGTCTCTCGTTCTCTCTGCCTAATGAGGTTTTTCGTGTCCGCCACTGAAAAGTGGAGGAAGTTATTTCCCGCGATGTGTTTTGTTTTGTTCTTTTCGCAAGTGTCAGCGGCGCGGCTGGATATTGCATTCGCTCTTCTGAAACCCAACTCTTTCCAAGTTTTACCTTAAAGGTTTATTGTGTTGTGGGTCGGCACAAACAACCTGGGTGTATTCATCGTGCCAATTATTAGCAAATAGTAATACGACGCCTTTTATAATGTAGTTTTAAACCGCGTAATGATTATATTTTCCGCATCGAGACACAACATTCATATATCTTATTTTTAAAAAATACCACCTGAATTTGCAACCAGTATTATTCCAGGCCTTATGAAAGTATTAGAACTTAAATGTGTGTGCTTACATTGATTCATATTTTTGCAGGGCCATGTAGTACTTTAGTTTTTGTAACTTTCTTACGACGCTACTGAACGTGAAGTGTCTCCAGAATTATTAGCTTAAATTATAACAATTAATTATGAATATTAGAGTAATGTATGAACAATGTAAAAATGAAGCTAGTGTATGACCCAGTCAGATCATTATTGGGCCCCTACATTTTACTTGGAATGGAGCAGTCCTTGAACGGATCTGCACTAGTAGACGGTTTACTTAGTTTGGATTTATACAATACCATATTGTTTTCCCAACAATATTCGTATGTTGACGTATGTATTGACAATGTTTGATGTATGTTCCAGGGCTGACGAGGCCGCCTATCTACCCGTTCACCACGGGACAATACCCTTACCCCATGCTGAGTCCGGAAATGACGCAAGTCGCCGCCTCATGGTCAGTATACTCTATAACATAATTTTTGGCATTGATTACTCGTGCTGGGTAAACAAACCAACTTTTTAAAAGAATCCAATAAATTTTACAGATAAATGTACACACCAATTTATATACAACAATAGATACATAAAATCCCTGCTATTTAGAAAGATCGAACGAAATCATCCTATCTATATATCTAATTCCGTAAGCCCAAAATTTTACAATGAAATTGTGAGCGAACGGGAGGCCGTAAAAAGCTGGAAGAGGTCTCATTTTAAAGGTCTGGGCGTGAAATTTTGGGGAAAATTATTCATTTTTCTTAATTATGCACCAAAAGGTTGTTATGGAATAAAATAATTTACATTTAAATAGCATGGGAATATATGTCATGTCTGCTTTGTTTACTTTAAAACATGTGGTTTAACTTTATTTAAAACATATTGTACTGTAATATACTGTAATATGTAATATCAAAGATTACATATGCTACGCAATATGTATACTATTATAAAGCTGAAATAGACTTTTTCCCAATTTTAAAATGGAGTAACTGGTTGTGTTAGGTATGTCTAAAAAAGGGTAAGGTTAGAAGTAATTACTGGAGTAGGCAAAGGGCATATTTTTCATTCCAAAAATAAAACTAATATCTACAGATCCTAATATTCCCTAAGTTTACAAGGGTCCAATTCCCATTGCGATTAGCTTTCGCTATAACTATAAATAAAGCGCAAGGCCAAACCTTAACAAAAGTTGGCATTTATTTGAAAAAAAGAAAAACAGTGTTTACCCATGGTTAACTTTATGTTACTTTTAGCCGGGTAAAGCGACCAGATGATGTTAAAATATTAAAATAAAGACCAAGGAATCGACCAAAATGGATGCTATACAACAAATGTTGTTTTCAGAGAGATTTTGTTATTGAATTAGCAATTTACAATTAGGAGGATGACATTATCTCTATGTGTTTTATCTAAGTGAATTTATATATTCAAAGAAATTTAATTTAACTAGGCCTAATAATCCTGAAGATTATTATTGAAATTGTTCCTTAGTTGTAGTATGATTATAAAGTTTATATTATAAACACACCGCATGAATAGTCCTTTGGAATTTTTATTTTAAACAGAGCAGACATCAAAATGCATTATGCAGGTATGCAATACCTATTATACATATTATAATATACACAAATTTTAAACGATAATTCAAGGAAGGGTAACCCATTAGACTAATAATTTGTACAAAATAATTACAAGAATATATATATCAGGAATATATATGTAATAGGGGCTATTGCCCCTACAAGCCACTAGTCTGTTTCTCATCATGTATTGCACCTGAAACCACACCTAGGCCTACATGTTAATTAACCAAACGTTATGTGCCAGCCACTTTAAGTAATATCTTTGACTATTGAGTTCTACTGTTTGTTTTCCTGTAGTAGTCCTGTTTATTGTCGTGTAAGTATGGACATGTATGGAACCAAACCAGGCCCTGTGCAGCGGTGCAAGTGTGTGTAATGACAATATGCATTGTGCAAGGCTGAGGCGATGCCAACGTCTTAGACATTTGATACACCTCTTAACCTCTTGGCTTTACGTCTCGCGACTCCGCGTTGACAAATTGAGTAATTAATTTCTGCCTATGTACAACATGTCTACATTTATATTGCCACTTGTAAGCCACATTCCTAGTTGGCATGTTAATTTGCTATGTCCTATAGTTTTACAAATAAAAATTGCATAATCAATAATAAAACAATCTGAGATACATTACATTACACCGACACATTTTAATGTAATCGTAATTCAGTCAGCACTCAGATACCTATATGTTTTATAACCGTATTTTTCGAGTCATAATATCGAATTTCAGCATCCGTTTGAACAACGATCGAAGACAATGATTGTAGCCATTTAAGAGGTATTGGTAGATTTCCGTGTCCGATTGTAATGCAATATAACAAAACCGGGGTAGAAAATCGGCCGAGATTACCCCAAACAATCGGCTAAGTGAATGGGCCGGAACCGCTTAGCGACTATTACACCACATCCTGGGGAAATTGTCCAAATGATTGGTGGACATTACGGGAAGATCCGTCCACCCTTGTTTGCCCGCTCACCCCATTTCTTTGCACTCCAATCTTCTTACAACGGCTTTTCTTTAGCCGGATTTGCCGTTGGATTCGTTTTTCACGCAGTTTTGTCGAGTTGGCGGATTTCAGAGTCGATTTATCTCGGATTGTCGTCGGTCGCTCCCCTAAGATAATCATGCCCCCGCCCCCCCCCCCTCGCCCAAGGCACTCCGCTGTATTAAACTCCCAATCTCCCCGTTGTATTGTTCGTCGTGCCTCGATCATTTTAATATAATTCCACCGTGCTGATCTTACGCTGTCGCTTTATTGAAAAATTACTGGCTACATTCGCGCTGAGCTTCATTTTGACTTTATTTCATCACGCGACGGTAAAAAAAGCCCCGTTGAGGATTTTTGAAGGTTTATTACTTGGGTGTTGTCACGGGAAATACCGATAACAACGTCTTCAAGTTTCATACTAGTCAATACAAAGATTAGTGTTAAATTCCCACAAGTTCTTACAGCAATTAATGTTTAGTGTGTACTTAATCTACAAAAGGTTTACTTATTCTTTGCACAACGCAAGTGTGAGGGATAAAGTGTACCGGATATGTTTGACATTAGTTCATCACTGAAATCGAATATAATACAAGTGACATTTGCGGTGATGAGCTACATAAAAATGGTGTGTGCTTTGTTGCAGGCATACGCCAAGCATGTACCCGATCTCAACGGCGAGTGCCGGGTTCAGAAGTCCGTACCCCAGCCCGTTACCCATCACCAGCTCAAGCTTACCAAGGTACAGTGTCACTCTCGTTGTAGCCTAGTTGTTGTAGCGAACCAACACATTATCTAGGAATGCTGATGTGTTGGTATACCTCGTGTTCTGGTTCAGAAGTCCGTACCTATGCCATTAAACATCACCAGTTCAATCTTACCAAGGTACAGTGTCACTCTCGTTGTAGCGAACCAACACATAATCTAGGAATGCTGATGTGTTGGTATACCTCGTGTTCTGGTTCAGAAGTCCGTACCTATGCCATTAAACATCACCAGTTCAATCTTACCAAGGTACAGTGTCACTCTCGTTGTAGCGAACCAACACATTATCTAGGAATGCTGATGTGTTGGTATACCTCGTGTTCTGGTTCAGAAGTCCGTACCTATGCCATTAAACATCACCAGTTCAAGCTTACCAAGGTACAGTGTCACTCTCGTTGTAGCCTAGTTTTTGTAGCGAACCAACACATTATCTAGGAATGCTGATGTGTTGGTATACCTCGTGTTCTGGTTCAGAAGTCCGTACCTATGCCATTAAACATCACCAGTTCAATCTTACCAAGGTACAGTGTCACTCTCGTTGTAGCGAACCAACACATTATCTAGGAATGCTGATGTGTTGGTATACCTCGTGTTCTGGTTCAGAAGTCCGTACCTATGCCATTAAACATCACCAGTTCAAGCTTACCAAGGTACAGTGTCACTCTCGTTGTAGCCTAGTTTTTGTAGCGAACCAACACATTATCTAGGAATGCTGATGTGTTGGTATACCTCGTGTTCTGGTTCAGAAGTCCGTACCTATGCCATTAAACATCACCAGTTCAATCTTACCAAGGTACAGTGTCACTCTCGTTGTAGCGAACCAACACATTATCTAGGAATGCTGATGTGTTGGTATACCTCGTGTTCTGGTTCAGAAGTCCGTACCTATGCCATTAAACATCACCAGTTCAATCTTACCAAGGTACAGTGTCACTCTCGTTGTAGCGAACCAACACATTATCTAGGAATGCTGATGTGTTGGTATACCTCGTGTTCTGCTTCAGAAGTCCGTACCTATGCCATTAAACATCACCAGTTCAATCTTACCAAGGTACAGTGTCACTCTCGTTGTAGCGAACCAACACATTATCTAGGAATGCTGATGTGTTGGTATACCTCGTGTTCTGGTTCAGAAGTCCGTACCTATGCCATTAAACATCACCAGTTCAATCTTACCAAGGTACAGTGTCACTCTCGTTGTAGCGAACCAACACATTATCTAGGAATGCTGATGTGTTGGTATACCTCGTGTTCTGGTTCAGAAGTCCGTACCTATGCCATTAAACATCACCAGTTCAAGCTTACCAAGGTACAGTGTCACTCTCGTTGTAGCGAACCAACACATTATCTAGGAATGCTGATGTGTTGGTATACCTCGTGTTCTGGTTCAGAAGTCCGTACCTATGCCATTAAACATCACCAGTTCAAGCTTACCAAGGTACAGTGTCACTCTCGTTGTAGCGAACCAACACATTATCTAGGAATGCTGATGTGTTGGTATACCTCGTGTTCTGGTTCAGAAGTCCGTACCTATGCCATTAAACATCACCAGTTCAAGCTTACCAAGGTACAGTGTCACTCTCGTTGTAGCGAAGCGAACCAATACATTATCTAGGAATGCTGATGTGTTGGTATACCTTGTGTTCTGCTTCAGAAGTCCGTACCTATGCCATTAACCATCACCAGCTCAAGCTTACCAAGGTAAGGGTTTACTCTCGTTGCAGCTATTCTGACCTGTGTTTGTTTGTTGTGTTGCAGCGACTTGTACAGGTTCTCGCCGAGCGGTCTGATGGCCTCGCACCCCGGCCTCAGTCCTCACTCGCATCCCTCGCTCACCTCTCACCCCGCCATAGTCACCCCTGGACCCAAACAGGAGCTCCAGTCCGACCACAACCACCATCATCGGTATGTACCACCCACCTTACACAACACAGCATCCAAACAGGGGGCTAGTTATCTGTTTGTTGCTTTACTGCCACAGACATTAGGAACCCACAACCTAGCCTAAGTAAACTAGAGAACATCAATTGAAGATTAGCAAATTTAGTTTAATCAGACCATAATTAAAACAGACTTATCCTGAGCCTGAGTAAACTAGAGAACATCAATTAAAGATTAGCAATTTTTGTTTAATCAGACCATAACTAAAACAGACTTATAATATGTAAAAAGGATTCTCAACTTTTCATCGTATCAGTAAGCAACGTAATACAATACTAAAAATTTGTATATCATTTTGACAATGCACACAGCTCTGGTTCTCAGATAATTTGTCGTCAGCTGAATGACTTGATTGTGAACTTATCGTTTTATGGTTGAAGTCCAACATTGAAGTTTAATAGACCTGGCTAGAGATTCAAAATGGCCTGATATGTGCCAAAACACTTGCAGTGCATATAAAATATGGAGGACGGCGTGACAAGTGCGATGAAGGGTTCGCACCCTGCTAATTATCCGTGTGTGTGAGTGTGAGTGCAGTTCCAAGATGGCTGCCGGGGCGGACTTCTCGAGCACCCGAGCCACTGGGCCATTGTCTGGGCTGATAACGTGCGAACTGCAGCCCCACTGCACCACTGCAACTGCAACATTGCACTTGTCTTGCCCTATTGTTTATTATAACACCTTCCCCCACATCTTGTCGTGTAAAGTCTCCTCCATCATAGAGCTTGTTATAAGTCATGAGTGCGGCGGGACAACCTACTTTTATTGTTGGTTCTATGATACATTCTAGACTAATTAAATATTTTAAATTACATTTACTGGCATCTTAATGGGTTTTAAATATCCTAGTTGACCAAAAGATAAACGTTTTAACGTTTATATACTTACCACGTGGCTTATAAAGGAGACACATATATGATTTCATAGACCTCTCTTTAGATTTTACGGCTATTCTCATCTTAATCGCCATCAATTTGGAGAATTCAAGTTATCGTCCTTCAGTTTGAACAGTTTGATATTTCTCATCCTTTCAAATCCCGCATAGTTCTTTAACATTCAAATTTAGACGTAAGTTTTGAGTTTGTTATAGTTATACTAGTAAAATGCATACAACAAACAACCTTAAATAATAAAAAAATCTTATCTACAACGTCAACTTCAAGCCTTATCCCATGGTTCAATAATTTACTAACTATACTGCCCTTAAGAGTCAAGTAAATGCTGTTTTGAAAACATTGTAAAATTCTATCATAATAAATATAAATTAAAAGAAAAGTTATTGAGAAGCATGTAATTGTTTGGTATCCAATTCTTGAAAAAAATATTATGTTGTACAAATTATTTGCGAAACATTCTCGACTACCGTATAACACTTAACTTCGCAGCGCTACGACTCAACTCTTGTCAGGGTTTGATTTTGCACTTCTACGAATTTTCAATTTCTCTTTATGTCTGCAAATCCTAGTGAATAGTAATTAACATCCATTAAACTCTTATATATAACTTAATAGGTTATATTATTTGGGTTGGGACGAAACAACAAGCTAACTTGAAAACTGAGTGTAAGCGGATGACTAAAATTCCAGTTATATTGTCGAGTTTACTTGACTATACTTCAAAAAAATGAGAATGGCGTTTCACAGCACGATGATTTTGAAAATGAACAACATTACGAGGGGATTTGGTTTCCTATATCAAGGAAGGATATTATAATATCATACTATAATGTCTAATAAAATATTTCTAATGTAATATTTCTATAACCCCTATAGTCTATTCTTATTTTATATGAGTAACGTTAGCGCACAATGATTGCAAAAACGGCTCCTATGATTTCCTATAACTTATTAGGAATATCTTAGTTTCAGGCAAAAAAAAAACAATATCCATGCTAGCCACTGATCTTAGAAAATTAGTTTTTCGTTAAAAACTCAAATTGAAATTTTAATATTTTTAACATTGGTCTTATGGAAAGCTACGTAAATGTAAATAAATTAACTGTAACATATGCTTATAACAAATCACTTCAGTACAGTGGCAAATTACTAAATACAGTACAGAAGAAAAGGGCATTTCCATAAATACCATTTAGCATTACCTGTATATATAGTTGTTGACGATGCGCCTCTGGAAGGGGTGCGTTGTTTGATAATCCCACGGATTATAAAATAGAATCGATAAGGGTCATAAACAAACAAATTGCCCGAAATAAACATGTTTGTATTATTATTTCAATGCAACTGTCAAAAAACCTCTAAAACGTGTAGAGATTATTAGTATTAGATTCCATCCAGATCCAAATTAATTTAGTTTAATTTTAACATGATTGTTTTATTTAGACATATTTCAAATGTGACTTAGTATAAAATCTAACCTCTTCACACTCGTATAAATGTGCTCTAGACTTGAGAGCATAAAGTAAAGGCTATGGCATATTTTGTCTCACAAACCCTTAAATTCAGCCTTTGAAACTACATTATGACAACAGAAAACCTCATCTTAGAGTATTTGGAGTGTTTCTTTGCAGTTTTTACTACTATTTTGCCGTTTTTATGTTTACACTTTAACTTATTTCTAAGAGTAGATTCACCAGTAGAATTAATTAGTTTTGGCAGAAAATAACATTTTCTTAGTCCTAGCACAAAACTGTACGATGTGTCTAACGGCATTGATTAGTTAATTAATCCATTGGGTCTTTTTTCGAAGAGGGTCACCACTTTTGAAACAGTGTGTTAATTAAAGTAAAGTAATTGATAGGGGAAGCACAATGAAACTAGAAAATTTGAGATTAACTATTATAATATCAAGTCTTACACAATGGCTCAGCTTAAAAAATTAACAATACTGTAATGAAAAAAATTTTAAATACAAAGTTTGTATTTTGATTATTTTTACCGTGTCAATGCGTGGGCATGATAAGATGTAATTTTATAATTTGTTTAGTTTTTTGCCTATGTTTATTTTTAACGTCCCCTACAAATTAAACACCACGAGCAATGCTCGGTCCTCTGGTACTATCTATTATAAGGGTATTACAATATCTAACCCAAGTTTGAAAAAAATGAATTGCGTTGGTTAAAACCAAACATAAATAGACAAATGAATTATTTTCTTTGAATAACTGAAAAGATAAAACTATAAACTATTTGCTTTTTTCATTTACAATTTACGTGAGCAGTGTTTTATAAGTTTTAATTAATGAATTAGAAAAGTCGTTTAAACCATCAAGGAGTTTTTGCGTCGAATCATCACTAAAAATATAATAGGAATTGACGTCTCTTTAGCCTTGTTGTATAAAATATGTTAAACAAATATATATATATATATATATATATATATATATAACTAGAGATATGATCATCGACGAATCTAACTACTATAAAAGAAACCTACACTAACCGACTGTCAGAAATGTTAACTATCAGTGCATTGCATCCGCTGTAACAATGACAGCTCCCGATCGGTAACTAATTTGGCATCTGAATGAAACAATGAGTGAGGGAATGCACTGATGGAAGATACATGTATTTTCCGTTTGGTATTTCGTTACAAACGGCAGCCAACCCCTAGAGGCGTTGTACTCGTACAAGTGTAAGAGGTAACAACTCTCCCCGTGATACTCGCCAATAATTACAACACAATTACACTGCAACATCCGTGGATTCCTGCGTCTTCTAATTATTACGTCAACAAACTCAAAAAAACGTGTTTACCTTTTCTTGCCTCGCTAGGGGATGGCAGGGAGAGAGGGGGTGGGAGACCGCTTCTGATTGGTCAGGTTGTATCCTAGCAACGGGGAAGCTGTGCCGGACAGGGGGAGCGTCTGAGCCTAATCGAACACGACTCTACTTCATTCTCAACCTCCATATTGGTATCGGAAAAACGTCCCTTGCACGGCAACGGATTGGGCCAGGAATCCTATTATACCACTCCCCCCAACCCCAGAATAACGTAACATTTTGTTTGTAACATCTCGAGATGTTATTCGGGAAGTCCGAGTAGAATACAATAGATTGTGTAAGTTTCTCGGCCAGGAAGCAGAAATTTGCAGCAATATGCAGAGAACAAAATAAATTAAGTTGCTGTTTCAATTTAGTAAGTTGGGGAAATGATTCTGCAACGATAAGTTGTTTTATAAGAATGTAATTTATCGTAAAAAGTCATAATAATTTAATGCACATAACAAAGCCAATGCAATGTATTAATAACATAATACGACGGCTTCTACGAATCCTTGTATTAGGTGATTACATCCTCAGCATGGTTTCGCTCATTCCCAATTGGTAGAATATTTAAACAAAGCTAACTCTAGATCTGATCTAATCAATAAATTATACATAAAAAGTCTCAACCCCGTATAGACTACATTAGGTGTTCAGTGAAGAGACGTACTTTAATGTCCTGTTCGTAAAATACAAACTCAATTCTGACTGCCTTAGACACTTGTGACCTGAAGTTACTACTGGACTCAGATAAATACAACCCCGACAGTAAGTCTGGACACTGGACAGTGAGGCTGGACACTGGACAGTCAGCGACAATAGTACTGTATATATCCACCCTCGGGTCTATACCGTTATATCGTGTTTCGTGTAAGTGCGAGAATGAGTCAAGATCTCTGTTTATATCGGTTATTTTCACAAAAACAGCGTATCAAAATCAATAGGGAATAAAATGTAGTCCATGTTAGTAAGTAAGCGGTTCATTTGACTAAAACTTAATAAGTATTATAAATCAAATCGTTCTCTCGATGTGCGCCATCGTGCAAGTTAGAAATTTCAATACGGGAAATAAAAAGAAGGCATTAGAGTTAATAATTATAAAGCTCTTTTTGAAGTTAACAGTTAGGATGATTTCTATAGTGTCTATAACTTTGCACGACTATACGGAAATGTTACAAAAAATTCCGGGCCAATGATTTGGGGAAATAAACACTAGAAATTTACACAAAAAGTATATT